AGATCTTTCGTTTGCTCTCTTCAAAGCCGAGCTTGGTGCTCAGGGAAGACCTCTCCTGTTCCAACTGCTTCACAGTTGGAACCACCTCGTCCAACGACTCTTGCAGATCTTTATTTTTCTTCTCCAACTCCTCCTTCTCCTTCTGTAGCTGGTCACACTGCCTCTGCAAGAGTGCGCGCTCCTTTATACTCTCCCTGAACTCCTGGGCTAGACCATTCACCCAATTTGCGCTCTGCAAAATCAAAGCAGAAGTTCAAAGAGAAAGAAGAGAAGAAGAAACAAAATAAATAAATAGCAGCACTAATTTAACGTACCTCAAGAACATGCTTCACAACAGATGCTCCCCCGTACCTCAGAGCTTCCTCCCGCGCATTGCGCTTGTCCACTTCGGGGAAGGTGCTGTTGATGAACCACCTAGCCCCCATTATGTTCTTTGCCTCGAATAAGTTGCTCTGAGGCACCACCGGGGAAACAAGGCCCTTTCCCTTACCAGGAGCCCGTACCTCAGCCCCCTCCTCCAACCGTCTGAGCTCAGGGTTCAGCTCAACAGGAGGAGGCTGAGGTACAAACTCAGGAACCCCATTCCCCTCTTCCTCCTCCACCACCTTCTGCTTCTTCTGCAATGCCCTCCTCTCCTCCCAACCCTTCCTCTTCAACGCTGGCACATCCTCCTCCGTCTCAACTGAAGCCAAGGGCACCACCTCTTTCCCAGTCCTCCCCTCATCCACTTTCTTGGTTGAAGTCTTTGACTTCTTCCTTGGCTTCTTGGGGATGGGCGCTCCTCTAGCAGTGTTTAGAAATTGGTCCATTTCAGCTGCAAAGCAAGAAACACAATATTAGTCACAATTTTATATTCTACATTTAACACTACAGTGCATGTTAAACAAACCTTCACTTAGAGCGCTTGGCCCATAGAGCTCAGCAGCTTCTATACATGCTGCGCTGGTGAGGTCCATGATATTCAATTCATCTCCCCTCTTCCTCACCAACTTCCTCACTTCTTCCTCCTCATCCCCATTTAAGCTAAACCTATTCTGGTTGGCCCTTTTGGCCTTCCAGGAAGCTAACGCCCTCACCTCGACATCCCCCTTCCCCCACTCCGTATCATCCACAAAAAAGAATTTTTCCTTCCATCCCTTAATGGATGAAGGACCCGTAGTAAATAAAATCCTACTCTCCTTCTTAGCTACCCTAGGGGTGAAATAATACCACCCTTTATCCCTCCTACTTCCCCCCTTCAAAACAAAAAAATACTTAAACATATTTACGGTTGACACACTAATATCCTGAGCTCGGCAATAAACTAAAAAACCTATTATTACCCTCATTGCATTGGGGACCAATTGTGTCAACCCTATATTGTAATCTAACAATAAACCTATTAGCAACTCAGGAAGTGGAAACCTGAGTTCCGCTATCAAATAGTGGGAATACACAGGCATCCAGTGATCCCGAGGAGCAGAGCACGCCCTTTCCTCTACCCCAGCTGGCCTAACTAACACTCGGGAAGAGATCTCATAATTCTCTACCAAGTGACCCAGGCTATCCCTGGTCCTTAGCTCAGACCTGTACTGCTTCACCTCCTCCACTATCTCCG